ACAAAAGAAATTGTAAAAACTTCTAATGAAGAAAAACAACTACGTGACTTACAAATGAGAGCAGAAGAAAATCGGAAAAAAATTGAAGAAATGGTTATTTCTCTCACTAAAAAAATTCAAAACACTAAACAAATAGAACAAAGAGTAGGAACAGAAGAAATAACACAACAAGATGCTATGATGTTAGAAGAAGCACTTGAGATGGTTAAACAAATGAATGAAATGAATAAAAAATCATTAAATGAATTAAAAAAAATTGAAACTGTTAAGGCTCTAGGTGAAAAAGTTCGAAGAGATAGTTGTAGCTTGATACCTAAAGATAATTTAATGGAAATAAATTGAATAGTTGTTTTTCTTTTTAAAAATACAACATTTCATTTGTTTGTTAATAAATAATTTTATATCAGTCACATTTGTATATCTTTATTAATTTAAAACTAAACACAATAATTAATTAAAATAATTAAAAATTAAAACATCTAACAATAAGTGAAAAAGACAAACAAATACGTTAAAAGTAGGATTGTCTTATTAAAGTTTCTATAAAGTAGAAAAAAATTGGAACAACAATTCATTCAAAGCTTACAAAAAAATTTAACAATTCCATTCAATAATCTTAAAATTCATTTATTTAAATAATTATAATGGGAAATACTCAAATCCAACTTGGAAATCAGTCAATACTCATTGAAAGAGAATTAGGAAGTGGTGGATTTGGAAAACTATATCTTGCCCATCCACAAAATAATTTATCAATTAATTATGCCTTGAAAACACAATCCTTTTTTGATCAACAAAGATTAGACCAAATTAAAAAAGAAATTGCTATTCAAAAAAAATGTTGTCAATGTGAATTTGTTTGTCAATTATATCTTTCTGCTGCATTTTCTAATCCTAGAAAAGAAGTGTTAATGTTAATGGAATATTGTCCTTCTTCATTAGTTCAAATCTTAGAGAAATCATATCCAAAAGGATTACAAGAATCTATTGTACTTGGTATTTTCTATCAAATAGCTAATGCAATAGCATTTCTTCATTCTCAAAATCCTCCTATTGTTCATAGAGATATTAAAATTGAAAATATTTTATTTTCTTCAACAAGAAAATTTAAACTTATTGATTTTGGAAGTGCTACATTTGAATCTGAATTATTACGAAAACAAGGAGATTGTGGTATCGTTGAAGAGGAAGTTAATAAAATGACTACTCCTGAATATAGAGCACCAGAATTAATTAGTGTTTATGAATATCTCCCAATTGGATGTAAAAGTGATGTTTGGGCATTTGGCTGTTTAGTTTATAAATGTTTAACTCTACACACTCCATTTGAAGATAGTCCAATGAAAATTCTTGGTGTAAAATATGATCTACCAAATTGTTCTCCTCTTCTTCAAACTTTATTTAAAATGATATTTATTAGAAACCCAACACAACGAGCTGATATTTTTCAAATACTTGGTTTTATTACAGATTCTACTAAATTACCAAATCCTTATATTTCATTTAGAAAACCTTTTCAATTCTATCACAACCAAAATGTTCAACAACCCCAACAACAATCTATCAAAGATATAAAAATACAAAAACAACCATGTCACCAAAATAATGAACAAAATGAATTAAAACATAAAGACGATAGTATTAAAGTAAGTGGGACAAAAACTTCTATATTATCTAATCAACAAAACACTTCTGAATTTTCAAAAAAAACTCATGTAGAAGTTAATGAAAATACAATTAACATTTGTGGCAAACTTGCAAAAGGATTACCTCGATCTCCAAGAATAGCAAATACTCATTCATCAAGACTTCCAAAAGAAACTCCAAAACTAAATGAAAATCACCAACCTCATGACTTTGGAACCTTTAATTTTAATGAACCTGTAAAAGTTCTTATCCCTCGTCAAAAACAAGAAACAGGTCAATCATTCGAATTTAAAGATAAATGTTCATTTGATGAATTGAGCCAAGACAAAAAACAACTTCACACTAGTCATGGTTCTTGTCAACAATCTCTTAAAGTTTCTGGAACTAAACAACCTGACATATCTTCTGAACCAATAAATCAATCATCTCCTTCTCTTTTTAATTTTAACTCAACAACCCCATCATATATTCCTCAAGCAAAAGTTATTCACCAAACAACTTCTAATTCCTCATTTGATTTTGGTCAAAGTTCATTTAAATCCACTCAAAAACAAAAAAAAGAATTTAATTCATTTGATTTTGATTCACAACCTATGACTTCAATTCCATCACCTATTCCAAAACAAAGGATATCCTCTACTTTTGTTTTCTAATACACATTATTTCATTAATTCTCTATTTTATTTTTTTTTTTTACGTTTGTTTTTGGTTTTAATCTTTTATTTTATATATGACAAACACTATTATTATAGAACATGAACCTTATGGTTTGTATTGACCTCTTCTATTTTATTTAACTGTATCATTACTCAATTGTCAGACTATGCGGCATATGCAAAATTAGGTGTTTTTGGATATTTCTTGGTTCTTACTATTGTTTCAATACTCTTATTAGTTCTTTATGTTATTTTATTTAGAAAAAAACATGGTCCTGAAGTTACAGTTGTTAAAATGGCTTAGATAAAATTTAAAAAAAAAAACAAAGAACCATTAAATCAGTTATTTACTCATAAGTTATTACTTATTGATCATTAAGGTTATTTGTTTAAAGATCATCCAAAGTATACACTCTGTTTTGGGCTGGAACTTCATAACTATCCTCTTCTTCTTCCTCTTCTTCTTCATAACTATCTTCTTCTTCATTTATTTCATCATCAGAAATATCATCTCCAACTCCAAATTTAATTCCAACATCTTTTTTCTCTTCTACATCTTCAGCAGGTAATCTATCAGGAATTTCTTTATATTTTTTTAATTGAATAATTTCATCTGAATTATATTTCTTAATAACATCGGCTTTTCCATCTTCATATTCTCTTAGTGATACTAAAATAACATCATTAACATTAATCCATACTTTTCTTTGCATTTGTCCTCGAATATGACATTGTCTTGTTTTTCCATCAAAACAATATGCTTCAAGTCTTCCATTTCCTAACATACGTGTAACTTGTCCATATTCTTGTCCTTCTTCTTTGAAGACTAATTCATGAATTCCTCCAACATTTCCTCCTTTTCTAGCTCCACTTCTTTTTCCTCCCTTTCCTTTACTACGTGGCATTTTTACATTTTCTAGTTCTTGAATGATTCCTTTTAAACCCTAGATCATTTCTTTGTGTTTTTCTTTTTTTTCTGTTTTCTTTTCTCCTCTACTACATTTTATCCACTTTCTAAAAATCCTAGTAATTTTGACGTCCCACTCTTAAGACTGAACGCAAATGAAATAAACATTCACAAACTCATAGCACCTTCGATTAATCAATATCAACTTATAATATCACATGCTGACTATGAGAAAAATAAAATATACTATAAATATATTATTAATTATTATTTTACAATTATCAAAAAAATACCCTCAAGGGTTACTAACTACGCAGTCCTTTGTTACTGATGTCTGGAAAATCTAACAAACAAAAACAAACAAAACAAACCAACCCACTTATTGTTGCTAATAAGAAGGTATTTGGAAAAGGTAATGTAGCTCATCCACGTGATTTGACCAGATATGTTAAATATCCACTATATGTTAGAATTCAAAAAGAAAAGAGATTATTAATGAAAAGATTAAAGACCCCACCAGCAGTCAACATCTTTGCTAATCATACTCTTGATAAAAGTAATGCTACTCAATTATTCAAAATTCTTGATCACATTAAACCAGAAGAAAGAGCTGCTAAATTACAAAGAATTAGAGCTGCTGCTAAAGAATTAGCTGAAAAAACACAAAAAGGTGAAAAAGCTACTGCTTCAAAGAAAACTGAAAAACCAGCTACCCTTAGTTATGGTATTAATAATGTTGTTAGATTAATTGAAAGAAAACAAGCTAAATTAGTTGTTATTGCTCATGATGTTGAACCATTAGAAATGGTTGTTTATCTTCCATACCTTTGCAAGAAATTACAAGTCCCATATTGTATTGTTAAAGGAAAGGCTAGACTTGGACAATTAATTCACAGACCAACTGCTGCAGTTGTTGCTGTTACTGAAACTAAGAAAGAAGACAAAGCTGCATTTGAATCACTTGTTCAAAACGTCAAATCTATTTACTTCGAGAATGCTCATATGTACAGAGAATTCGGTGGTAGAATTAATGGATTCAAACATAATGAAAAACAAAAGAAGATTCAAAATAAACTTAATAAAGATCTTGCTGATAAAGCAAAACAACAAGCTGCTTTAACTGTTACCACTGCTGTCGAAGAAAAAGCTGCTCCAGTTGCTGAAGAAAAGAAGGCTGACAAGACTGCTTAATTTTAATATCTCGTTATGAATTTATTTTATTATTTTATTTTAAAATATTGTTTTATAAAAGAGTTTTAAAACATTTATTAATAATTAAGTTAATGAGTGATAAACAACTCCAACAAGAATTACAAGAGGAATATACTAAATATCTTAGAGATGATTACAACAGGACTCATGCAACTAAGAAAAACTTAACTGAAGTTGAAGAACATAAGTTAAAAAGAAAAGAAGTTGAAACAGATTGGAATGATGATGATTTTGAAGGAGAAGAACGTGAGGATGAACTAACTGAAGAAGGGGCAATAGAACCTTTTAATCTTGATAGAGAACGAGAAGAAGGTAATTTTGATCGTGATGGTAATTATACAAAGTTTAAACGTGAGGATGGAGAAAAAGATAATTGGATAGAGATGGTGGAAAACGAAAGTAAAAGTATAAAAAATGAAAAAAAGTATAAAGAAATAAAACTAAAAGAAGTTGAACGAGTTAGAAAAGAAGAAGAACGTTGCAGTAATGTTGAACAAAACAAAGTTCAAATATATCAACAAATTATTTCTCTATTACTTCCTAATGAAAATTCAAAAAAGGCTATTTGCAGGTTAAAGAAAGAAAAAAAATTGGTTGAAATGAATCAGTTAATTGATGCTTGTGGTAATCTTGTGGATATTGGTGATTATCTAATTTATGAGAAAACCAAAGAACAACTTCAGCCATATGTTACTTTACATTAACTCTACGGTATTAGTACTCTACTTCAAAAAAAAATAAGACAAGTTATTAATATTTATTAGAACAAAGAATAGTTAGAGTTTTATTTCCTTTTTTATCTTTCTTTCTTCTTTTTATTCAAGAATTGAAAACATTTAAAATTATATCTCTTTTATTTTTGGTTAATTTCTTTCTCATGGAAAAAGGCATTAGTCCATATTTATAAAGGAATAATTATTACAGGGTATATTTATTGATATTACAATAGGTATTGTACTATTAAAACTTGTTATTGTTTGTTTTATTAGTTAACAAAATTAATAAATCTTAATTATTTTGGTAAATTTTAATGTGAATCGTTAATTTTCATTAAAATGAATTTGTTTAATTAAATTGAATATGTTCTACTTCTATCATAGAGATTAATTGAAAGATGTGAGAAATAGAATGAAACAGTTCTAATATATTAACAGAGATGAATATGTAGAATATTAAGTTTTTCATATTTTTAATGATTGTTTGTGGTGTATTTTGGGGGAAGTTGAAATGTAATTTTATTGATTTTAATCTTCTTAATAACTTTTAAAGTATCAACTAACTGATAATAATACGGTGAATAATTCTAGATATATTAAATTACTAATTGTCATAAATTCTCAAATAATTCAATGTAAATATTTAAAATAGAAATATAAATTAAATGTATAATTGTATATTGACATATATCAACAACCATGAGTAATAGTGTATTCTAATTTTATCAATTATGAATTAATAATATATAACTAAGATGTTGTAGGAATGAAAGAATTAACAAGAAGTAATAAATTAATAAAGTAAAATATGACAAAATCAATAATAATAAAACAATTAAGAGGAGTATTAAAATCAAAAACAAGAAAATTAATAAAAATAAGTAAATAATATATGAATAAATATTTAATTACACATAAACATGAATTAATAATAATTTAACTTCAAATACAACATAAGAAAGAATAGAAAGAATAGTGATATAAGAATAAATAGAATAAAATAATATAAGAATAAGAAGTAAATTAAATAGATCCATTCATAAATAATTAATCTTATTATCTTTACTAAATGAATGAAATAGAAATAATTTTATATTTAATGACCAATATTTGATTAATAATAATTTCATAAAACTAAATATACAAATTACAAATCATATATATTTATTATAATCATTTCAATTCAAATAAATAATATTTAAAATAATTAATAGAAAATCAAATATAATGATTATATTATGTTTTAATTCAAATAAAATGGTAATACAGTTATTAAATCAATAAAAATAATATTCTTATAAAATACTTTCATCATTCTTTTAATTATTTAATTTAAATTATAATTTATTATTTATTTTATTCATGAATTTGATATTTATATTTTAAATATATTCTTATTATTTAATTATTTCATTTCTTATTAATATTATTCATATTCATATTTCATTTAATTTAACTTATAATTTAATTTTATTGATATTTATATTATATAAATACAAATAGATTAATAAAATTGATATTTATTTATCTATAATATCAAATTCATTTAATTTATATTTAATAATACAAAATCATAAGTTAAATTATAGATTATACCAATATTAATTTTTCTTGTTTTATTGATACTGATATATTTTATAGTGTTTAATAATGATAAAACAGAAGGTATAAGAATTAATAAACATATACAATAAATAATAATTACTTTATCTCTTCTTTCAAAACCAAGATACTTGTGAGGATTATCATTGGTTACTCTTGGCGATTCAGCTAATCAATAATATATTTAACCACTAACATTAGTCATTGACATACTCTTTTCTTCATTAGTTATCAAAATTATGTATTTCTTTTTTTAATAGAAAAATACAAATAAAACTTAAATGAGTTTTTGAAGAAACTATTTATTTATCAAATAATATAACTAATAATTTAAAAACATATTCTAATAATATTGTTTTAAAGTAATTTAGTTAGTGTTAGTTCAGTTATTGAAAACACAAAATAAAGGGTCATGTTGCTTAAATAAGAACTTAAAAAAATGAAAGTCTAAAGTTTTATTGTTTTGTGAAAAATTAATGCCAAGAACGGAATTATATTCTTTTACTTAATGCTTTTGGAGTTATCTATTTTTCCTTAGTACGTTAAGAATTGGAATGGGTTAATAGCACATGGAATGTACCAAGATAAAAAATTTAATGTAAGATATACAGCCATTGATTATGTATATAATGATGCTCAAGATATTCAACTAATGGAGAATCACCAGATACAAGTGCTATATATGGATGTGCATCATTACTAGCAAAAAATATTAATCCCAGACATTCTTTCAAATGAACAATTTGGAAAAATATTATTCTGTAGATTTTATGTTATTATTGCTTTCTTCAGTTTAATTTATTAAGACAAACAAATTCATTTATTATGTCATTATTATGTATTGGTGTTTGGGCATTTATTCCAATGTCAATTGTTATTTCTACAAGAGGAAATGTTGAAGTTACAGTATGTTTATTTGTTAGTTTAGCATTTTATTTTTTGTGCGAAAGAGAAGTATGGTTATGTTCATTATTCTTTGGACTATCTATTCATATAAAGATTTATCCAGTGTTTTATGTATTACACCATTACACTCTTTTACCTAGTTTTTATCCAAATAAATCACTTTTTACTAAAGAAAGATTTATTGCAGTATTTGGAACAGCCTTGTTTTAATAGGATTAACAAGATATTATTACCGTTATGGATTTGAATTTCTTTGGAAAACTTATTTATACTATAGAATACGTCAGACTATGGCATAATTTATTAATATGTTGGTATTATCTATCAACTATCATTTGATCTCCCCAAACCAACAATACGATATTCATTTCTTTCTTTCAACAAATTTTTTGTTTAATTACAATTGGGTTAGATATTGTAAAAAAGATGTTATTTTCTGTTCTTATCTTATGATATGATTTTTGTTGCATTTAATGATGTATGTACAATGCAATGTTTGTTTTACTTCTATTTGTAGTACCAAAAATAATAGAGGGTATGGTATCTTATTTCTTACAGTATTTGTAAATTTACAGTATTAGATCGTATGGTATTTGAGTTTATTATAGATATAGACTTGAATTTAAAGGAAAGAATTCAATGTTTAGTATATTCATTTCAGAAATCATTGTATTTGGTACTAATATTATATTGGTTAATGTTATATCTACATATATTCACTCGGTAAATCATTAAAAAACAAAAAAAGTAAGTAAAACTGAATTAGTTTTTATTTATTTAAGAATTTTAAAGCATTTTTTCACGATCACTTTCTGTTATTATATCACACATATAACTTACAGTATCATCATTACTAACAAGTACATGTTCAGTAAAGGTTAGTGTTACTGTCCCTTTTCCTTTGAGCATAAATGATACACTCTTATCAATTGGAAGTAAATACTCACTACTTCCACTTCCATTCATACGACAAATTCGTATTGGTTTTTTCCCTTCCAAGACAATAAATACAACAACGTTATCATCTCCTGAATATGAAATTGTACGAAGAATGTATTGACTATGAACTGTAGTAATTTTAAGTGGTTTTTTATTATTTAAATTAAAAGAAACAATTTTCATAAAATAGAATAATAATTAATAAACAAAGTTCTGAAATAAATAGATAAAATTAAAAAAAAACCCTTTCAAAGAATTATTAAATAGTATAATAATAAAGAGTTAATTAATTTCAGAACTATTATCTCTCAAATTTGTTGTAGAAGTGCTCATAGATATGCTTGATATTTCACTTGTTAAATCTCCAAATTCTTTTTTTCTTTTCTTTTCTTCTCTTTTTTCTTTTTTCAGTGCTTTCTTAAGTTCTTTCTTTCTTTTTTCTTCTTCACGAATTTCCTTAAACTCCTTCCAATTTGAACTCCACTCTTTTTTTATTTGTTTCTTTTTCTCTCTCATTTGTTCAATACGTTTTTCTCTTATTTCTTTAAGTGACTCTATTCTTTCTTTATGTTTTTTTTCCATACTCTCAAACATATTTTTAAGAGAAGAATCATATAAAGAAGTTTTCTTTTTTTGACTTGATTTTAATTCATTTGAATTTAAAGAAAGATTTGATGATTTTAAACAATCTTTTGATATTCCAAGAATCCCTTTTCTTTTTTTAAGTTCATTTAATCGTTCTAACAATAATTGATTCTTTCTCTTCTTTTCTTCTAATTCAAAAAACTTTTCATCATATTCTTCCTTTATTAGATAAAATTGCTCTTCAATTTTATCAGCCTGTCCTACGTTGATATATAATTGTACATAATAATCATGAACAAATTGATTTAATGAATGAATTAAATTTTCATATGTATAATAATCATCAATATTACTTGTAAAAAATTCTAATGATTGATATATTTGTGAACTAATACTATTATTCAAATATTTTTTCATTGGAAGTGCATTTGTTTTCATTAACATAACTATGTCAATAACAATTTCTGGTGTTAATTCAATGAACCTGCAACTATCATCATCAGGACTATTCATTATATGTTTAGATAATAATAAATTATCAATATCAACTTCTTTATTTAACATGCTTCTTAGTTGGTGTGCAAGAATATCATTATCAGTTGTTTTAACACCAACAACTCTTGTAATTAATTGAGAAATAAATGTTAAAACTTTTGAATTTCTTTCATAAAAATCAATTCCAACAATTTGTTTAAAAAATCCAATATCATTAGAAACAATATTAAAGATACTTCTTACCATCACATTGAAGATATCATTTTTAATTAATCCTTCTTTATCTTCAACCAATTGGTCAATTCTCTTAAAAATAATTTTTACTAAATGAATAAAGAATGGAGAAAATTTATTTAAAATTTCTGATTGATGGTCATGAACACTATGAAATAATTTAACTAATGTCATTAAACTATTTACATAACTTTTATTGTTTTCTTCGGAATAATCCTCACAATTTCCATTTAATACATTCACATTAATTTGATCAATTAATTGTTGTTGGTCATAAATCAAATGAATAGCTGATTGAAAAAATTTAGGAATATATTTTAATGCAAATACATAGAAAAATATAGAAAAATATCCATCATTATTAAACAATATATTTTTATTATCTACAATATTATTTTATTTGATATTTTAATGATAAATCTTATTGAATTGGTAGTACAAACCTTTTGTAATAATTTGTTTATTAAATGCCCAAATAATTAATTCTTCTAATCTGCCATGTGCATGAAAATATTTCATTAAAATTTCTGCATTCTTAATGCATTCTTTGTCATTAATATTATAAATTAACTAACAAATAAATATAAAATATTTGACATGGTACAAGTATTTAAATTAATCAAACATTTGAACAAATAGCAAAAATAACACCTGACTCTTGGTTAAACAATATTTTATTAAAAGACTCAAGATCGAACATTATTGATTTAAAGTTCGAAATCCAAAAAAAAAATAATTAGTAGTTTGAAGTTAAATAAAGTTAATACTTAAACACCAAAAAACAAAGAAATGAATGAAAGGAGAAAAATGTTATTTCGCATCTTTTTTTAATTTCTTTTCTTCTTCTCGTTTTCTTTTCTTTTCTTCTTTTTCTATTTTCTTTTGTTCAGCTTTTCTTTTCTTCTCAGCTTTCTTTTCATCTTGTGTCACTTTCTTACTTTCATTTTTTGTTACTACTTTTTGTTGTTGTATATTTTCGTATAATTTTCCTTTATGACGTTCTAAATTTGATTGAACAGTAATTGGACCAGAAGTAGAGGTATTTGTTTTTAATAAAACATCAGAAAAAGTGTGAATTCCTTTTTTAACACGAAGTCGTTGTAATTGTTCTTTTAATTTCATATTTTTTATCTTCTTATCTTTTAGTATATTATTTGATTGATCAACCTTTTCTTTAATAGAATTTAATTGCCTTAATTTACTTTCTTCTTCACTACATACTGCTTTAAAATATGTATAAAACTCTCTTGAGAAAGTTTCAAAAGAACGAAGTACATTAGTATAAATTAAGAAATCATCAGAAGAACAACCTGATAATGATAATGCTTTTGATAATTCTACTCTAATTAATGGAGATAACATTCTTTTAATAGGAAGAATATTACATTTAATTAAAGATGCTAATTCATTTGAAGACATTTGACATACTTCTTGAGTTTGTTGTTTTTCTTCATATTTTGAATGTTCTAAAATAGTTTCAATTGATGTAAATTCTTCTAAATTATGTGCAACAGTAACAAGGTGCATAACATATGGTTCATTACATTTATTAAGCATTTTCTCTAAAGTGTCAGCAACAAATCCAATTTTTTCTATATATTGTTCAGTGTTTTGAAATGCTCTTCTGAGCATTCTTTTATTTTTCATAAAATTAGTTACTGTTAATTTAATAATTTTACCAAATAAATTGGAATTAAATCCTTTTTTCTTATAAATTGGATTATCAAGTAATTTAGATATTCCATTTAACATTGTAAAATAATTCATTGGAATTAATCTTAAATATACTTCAAATCCATTTTTTAATATTTGAATCATTTTTAATAAATCTTGAATATTTTTGTAATACCTTTCATTCATTTCTTTAGTATATTCATCTAAATTTCCTCTAAATAAATCAATATCAATTGAGTCAAGCATTGTACGATCTTCAAATAATGGTTTAATTACTTCTTTTGAATAATCAAAAAAATTATCAATAGCGTAAAGATAGTTAAATGTTGTAAAAAATCTATATGTCTCTACTTCATCACGTGCATTTTCTATAATATAAATTACTTTTTCTTATCTAATAATTCATCTTAAAAATTATTAAAAATAATAAACTTTTTTCAAGATATTCTTTTTCAAATGCCCAAATAAATAAGTCTTGCATTTTTCCATATGCAGAAAAGTATTCCATAATACATGAAGCATTTTTCTGACAAAACTGATCTGTAGGATCATATATTAACTATATTATTATATCTTTGTTGTTTCTCTTTAAAACTAAAACAAACATTACAACAAATTGACATTAGTAATCCACTATTTATATCAAACAATAAATTATTGAAAACATTAGTATCAGTCATCTTATAAACAAAAAATTTAAATAACCAGTTAATCAATTACTTCTTTATGGAATATTTTAAATTAATTTGAATAGTTTTATTATAATAATTTTATCATTTTAATGAGTTATTTTCTTGTAGAAATTAAAAAAAGGAAGAATAAGAATTTATTTTAAGTTTAGGTAAAATAACAAAAAAATTATTATTATTATTGAAAATGTGTTATTTATTTTTTAAAGCAAAGTTGACGTACAAATACTTCTAATTGCTCAACTTTCTTCCGTAAGTCTTTTCTAATAATTAATATTATCTTCTTAAATGATTTATTAAATAACAAACACTTCAGCATTTAGTTCAGCAAGACCAGCTACTGATTGTTCAATTTGACTAAATCGGTTTAATAATTGATCAACAGAGTCTGAGTAATCTAGTACTGATAAAAGAACTTGATTTGTACTTGCTTTGTGAATTTCAGTTGATTTTGAAGTAGCATCAGAACACTATTAATTAATAAAAAATTAATTTTACCTTAAACAAAACAAACGCTTTGAAGAAATACTTGTATCTTTGCGATATAATCATCAAGTGCACTTGCACAACATGTCGTTTGTTGATGAAGTGTATGAAGATAGGCAGCAGGATCAAGAGGTTCAAATGATGGGTCTTTTAGCATTTCTTCAGTAGGGACTAGAGGGATAGGACTAACCCATTCTATATCATTTTGTTGTTTTTCTGACATGAAGGAGTGATTTTATAGTTTTTTTTTAAAATACAAATAAACTAAAATATATTATTAAATATAACTATATTAAACTATTCATAAATTACTTTTTGTTTTTATAACAAAAAGTAATTAAAATTGTTGTTCAATTGATGACTTCCTTAAAAATGGATTTTGTATTGAATTATTAATTAAATCAAGTCGTGTTTCTTGGTTCTGAGTTTGTGGATTAAAATTAATAAATGGACTTGAGTGAGAGGAATGAGTAAAGACATTTGATATTTCTTCTAAAGCTGTTATTTGTTGAGGAGATAATGATTTTATAGAATCAAAGAGATAATACTGATGACAACTGAAATCAAGTGAAAGCATTAATCGAATATATTTTTTTAATCCATTTTCTAATGTTTCAATTGGTTCTATTTTATTAAGATTCTTTTTTACTTGTTCTATTAATATTGAATTCGTGGCAAGAAGAGTAAGTACACAAATATTTGATTCATCCGTAGGACTTGATGAATTTGAAATATTTAAGTCTTCATAGATTCTTGGTTTTTTTTCATTATCTCCTTTGAGAATATCAAATTTTGGTTTCTTTTTAGACTCAAGTTTAGAAGTGACTTTGATTGGAGCAGAAAAAAGTCTAGTAATTAATTGTTTATTATTAAAAATATCAATACGTACAATAAATAACATGTCTTCATGTTGACTAGATAAAACAGTTAATTTACTTTCTATTGAAACAGAATGTGTTGTTAATTGATGTATTTTATATTTAATTGGTGAAGCATTGACAAATGGAACTATTCGTTTATCAGGAGTATCATAAATTAATACACACTTAAATTCACACTCTGTTAATTGTATAGATTCTGAATGTAGTTGTATGACAAAATTATTTTGTTTAACAACAATGTATATCTCTTTATTCCCAATAACTTGTGTCCGAGCACAAGTTTGACGTTCAACAAAAATTGATTGGTTCATATCAATTTATTATTCTTTTGATTTTAAAGTTTTAAAACTAACTTATCAAAAGTATATCATCAATAATTCAAACAATTTCTTTTGAATTTTTTTTCAGACTTCTCATCATTCTTCTTTAATTATGAAATTTCTTTTGGAAATTTCCTTTATTCTAATTTCTTATTTTTTTCTATTAATTATTTATTTAAAGGTCTCTACTTTCTTGTTAGATGACTCACTTCTTTTTAATTTTTATTGTAACACTCTCAAAAAAATTTCTTTCTCCTGTGATTTATAGAAAAAACCTAGAAATTTCATAGTTACATATTTTTCTTTGGAATTTTCTTTTTACAAATGTTATTGAAAAACTTTTTTTAATAATACTCTTCATCTAATTCATCTTCATTCACTCCCTATTCTTTTGTGAAATATAAATTTCATTCATCAAGAAAAATTTTAAATACAATAACATTATCAATTCAACAAAATTTCTCTTTACCGAAAGTAATATCATTTACAAAATATCATTTACATTATACTGATTTATTGAAATTATAAATAAATATTTTAATCTCTAAAATTCTCAATATAATACTATTATAAAAACACTATCTTAATTTTTAAATTTACTATGAATAGATTTCTCTATACCTACTATCATTATCAAATGTACAAAACGTAATTTTCAATCTAAACTTAATTCCTTTAGGATATTCAGATAGTTTATTATCACTTTAACTTGATTTAAATTTTTGAGATATGTGTTCAAATAATATTATTTTCATCCAGTATTTAATTTATTCACAAAATCTTATTAAATTATTTGTACAAACAGTCATCAAAAAATACATTCTGTAGATTTCCTTTCCATATGTATTACTTCATATAACCCAAATCTTTTATTTGAGACACAAAATATTTCTTTCATTTTCATAAAAAAAAGAAAAAAACTTAAAAAGTTTTGAAAGTTTTGTTTGATTATACACCTCATGACCTATGAACTTCCTGATGCTAAAACACTACGACATATCCCTGATGAATACAGAAAATGTGGGGAATGTGATAAAACTAAAATTGATGAATTAAGAAGATCAACTATTTGTTGTCATATTTTATGTCAAGCATGTCTTTCAGTAAAACATGAGAGATTTACATGTCCGAAGTGTGGAATTGAATTATCAAAAAGTGAGTTTGTGTCATACAAAAGAGATGACTCATTAATGAAAAAAGAAAAACGAGAAAAGTTACCTAAAAACATAAAAGAATTAGACCGAGGGGATTTCAATGATACCCCAACTTATAACAACTTTCTTGAAGAAGTTGAAATACTTAATGAAAGAATGAAAACTGAAAGTGATCCTACTAAAATGGAATTGTATATTAAATTAGCTGGAATTAAACCAAGAAAGCACAAAGGAACAGATAAAAAAAGGCGTTTTGAAGCTCAAAGTAAAAAAGAACAAAAAAAACCTCTTCATGAACTTGCTATCAACGTTCAAACAAATGGTGGAATGATTGACCTTCATACTGAAACACCTAAAAATGTTATTTCAAAATCAAAACAAACAACTGTGGCTGATGAAATAAAGAAGTTTTTTGGATACGATCCAAAATGTGTTCAATTAAAGAAAAAGTATGAAGCTCTTAATTGGTTTTAAATTGAATCATTCGTGTTATCACATAGAAATAATTTATTTTAACTGTGTTTTACTATATTTTTTTTTTGAACTAGGTAATATAACAATAAAATACTACTGTACCTTAATGACCATTTTTTATTTTGTCTTAAACAATTTAATTATAAAAATATATTGTAATATAAAGTGTTAAAATGAATATTTATATTAAATAGTCTTAATAATACATACAATAACTTCTCTTAATTATTTTGTTTTTTCTTTTTTTTTTAATGTTGGAATTGAATAAAAGGAATTAATTCAAAAATAATAATAAATTGATAATATTTTAAATATATTTAGTTCTATTAAACCTCAAATTAGTTAATGAATTGTACTCCTAAACATAATCCAATCCATTTCAAAATAAATTTTAACAAATATTCAATTGGAAAATGGGATAAAAAGAAAAAAGGAAGTTATATAACAATTTTGAAGAAAAGAACATAAAAATGACTCAATTTTTTACATTTAGAAAAGAATAAAAAGTCTTTCAAGAAGAATTAAATTATATCCAAAAAATGAAATAAAGGGGTGATATATATTTATAAACACCTTTCCTTCTTTCGCTAGTTTTAATCCTTTTTTATAAAAGTTATGAAATTTCAAGAAAACAATCCCGGATAACTGAAAATGAGAAGAGACATTGAAACAAATGACCAAGAGCAGGGTTATATACATATTCTCACTCGTTTGGGTTCTATCAATTTGGTTTCTTTCAATTATTATTTCTTTAATAGGAATGTATTATGGTTCAACTTCACAAGGTTTAGACAATATTAAATTTGGATTTAAAATTGCTGTATATATTCTTTCATTTACCTGCCCTTTATTTGGAATTTCTTACACATTTTATATTAATGAAATTACTCAAAATCAACAAATAATAATAAATATTATTGCAGTAATTGGTATTATCTGTTGTTTTTGTGCATCTATTTATTGTACAATTATTATGACTAAAATGTCTAAAACATGGGCTGATATTAATACTAATAATATCATTCAATATGAATTTGAAGTTTGTTATTAATTTCTCTTTAAATGAACATAACATCATATATTAGAATGAGTGTTGTATCATAGCAGAATATAGAAGTGATGGAAATCATTATATATTTAAGTCATGTCCTTTACTTTCACCATCAACTGAAACAAAAAGCACATGTAAGAATGAATTTGATGGAAAAATAATATGTCCAATGAAAGACATAGGATATGGATTTAATGCAAGAGATAATTTATGTACAGTTCATTTTGATTATACAATGATTGTATTATCTTTAATATCCTTTACTTCAGACATCATATTACTATTTTTTACTTTACTATTTTCAGTGTTCATCATCATCTCCCATTGGAAAAAGTCATGTTTTACAGAACAAATTACTAAACCTCAAACTACTAGATATTTTCCAAATCATTCTCAAATCAATAAACAAGAATATGTAGATGTAAATAACTCTAATTAGTTAAATCACTCATCGTTCTATTTTTATATACTTAAAAATGAAATAAATATTAAAATACTTTTTTAAAGAAATTTTTCTTCAAATAATATAATATTCAGTAAAAAGATTAGTAAATATTTATGATTCTTAACATTAGTTTTTAACTGAGCAATTAAAGAAACACTTAACTTCAAAATGAATTAATATTACTTCATCTGTTTGGAAACATCAACAACATATTTAACTGAAGCAACACTTGAAGCTGGAATATATTGAGTAGTTTGTTTATTAACTAGTAATTTTTTGAAGGCTTGTTCTGCTTCTCCAACTTTTCCTTCAAGAAGATCATTGAATAAATTAATAAATTGTTTTGCAATATCTGCTGGAATTTTATCAATGCATCCAGCAAAACTAGATGCTTTTTTCAATGCAACACTTGCTGGTCTTTCAAATGAAGTTCCTTTTGATTTGGTTTCAATATTAGATGTAACCTGATCAAGAACTTTCTTTAACTCTTCACAAACCATAATATCAATAACTCCATCACTAGAACTTGATGTGTTATTAGCTTGTGACATAACTGGCATCACTGGTTGTGAAATTGGTACAGTAACTTTTGGAATAGAGGGAATTGGTGGTTGTACTACTGGAGTAGGTACTGGTGGCATTACTGGTTGTGGAATACTTGGCAATGTTGGTTGTGTTCCTGGAACTGGAACTTGTGGTAACATTGACTGTGTTCCTAGAGTAGGTACTGGTGGCATTACTGGTTGTGGAATTGGTGGATTTACTTTTGAAGTTGTTGGAAGTACTTGTGGTTGTGGAATACTAGGCATTACTGGTTGAACAGAAGCTGGTATAACAGGAATTTGAGATAATACTGGTTGGGTACGATTTTGAGTTTGTAATGTTGGTTGTTGAATAGTGGGTAATGTTGGAATACCACTGGATGGTGATGGAACAGGTGGGAAGAATTGATTATTGGTGACGGGTCTTTGTTGTGGAGTATTTTGTTGAGTATGTGGTTGTTGAATAGAACCAACAACTACTTTCTTATAAGGACATACTGGTTGAGTTCCATGAGCACCTTGGGCATAATAAATTCTATCAATTAATTCTTTTGTTTTGTCATTTTGTTGAGCACCAAGGCATTCAATTAACTTTTGAGCTGCATTCAATTCTCCTATAGAAGCTAATTGTGTAGCATGTTCAACTATTTTAGTTGTAATAGAATCCGTTAATTGAATTTGACCACACATACTTCTTAATATTTCAATTCTTTCAATAACTTCCTCAATTCCATGTGAAGCGTCAATCCAAATATCAATTAATTTATTAACATTACCTGATGCAATATAACAAATTAATGCTGCATGTTTATTAATTGGATATAATTTATCTCCAAGTCTTACAATTAATACTGGTTTTAGTGCAACATTAGCATGAATACAAATAGCATATAATACAAATTTCCATTCTTCAACATTACACTCCTCAACAATTTGTTCAAGTTTATCTTCCATAATAGCATTAACTATATTTAATGATTTCTTTCTATTCCATTCTTCTTTTTTATATTCTTCAATAACTTTTGAATGTATTTCTTTATTATTTTCTGTCATAATTAATGCATCAGCAAACCGTTTAGTTTTAATACAAAACTCTACAGCTTTATCAATTTCACCACTAACAACCAATTCTTCAATAATCTTATCTTCTACAGTATCTTCTTTATACTTTTCTTCTTTAACTTCTTCAGTAACACTTTCCCCTTCAATCTTTTCTTTAGTTCCTTCTTCCTCTTCTCCCATATGTTCAAATGGATCATCTTCTTCTTCAACTTCTGCTTTATTAACTTCTTTTCCTTGTGAAACTTCTTCTTTTATTTCATTAACTTTAAATAATCCTTTTTCTTTATAATATTCATTAACTTTTTCTTTAACATTCTCTCCTTCAAACCCTGTAATTTTAATTACTGCATTATTGTCTTTACAAACAATTCCACTAATAAGTTTCCATGTTTCTTGTTCATCTCCTTGACATGTTTCAGATCGTTTTACACATAATTCTTCAATTTCTCCTTTTTCCATTTTTTTAATAGAAACATTTCCAACCATTTTCTTTAACAACACTTCTTTCCCTTTAAAAATACCCATTTTACCACCAAATCCAAAAGTACATCCTGATGTTCTTTCCATCCATTTTGGATGTTTTCCATCTCCATAATCACTAATAGTATAAAAATTAATAAATCCATCAAGACCACATGTACACATTCTTCCTTCTTGACTACTCCATTGAACAAATGTATCCCAAACATTTTCTTGAGATGGGAATTCACAAATAATTTTTCCTGTCTCAAAGTTCCAAATAGCTGTTTTATCTTGTCCAGTAGTAGCAAAAATATTTGGGTCTGTTTTACTAAAACTAATAGACCAAACTGGTGCTTTGTGTCCTTCAAAAACTCTAACTGGTGCCATTGTATTTCTAACATCCCAAAGTTGTACTGGTTTTTCTTCTGAGTCAGAAATAGTAACAATTGTTGTTTTCTCAGTTGGAACCCAACACGCTCCTTTCCAATTGGCATGTGTCTTATCATTAAATGTCATAATATTTTTCTTCTTTTTACAATCAAAAATAACAATTGAACCAGTTGACAATGTTAATGCAATAATGTGAGGAACTTTAACATTCCAATTAACACATTTAATGTCAGCTTGTGTTTTTTGTTCTGGTTGAGTAAATTGAATATTTTTTAAATTTGAAATATCATAAATAATAAACTCTCCACATGCACCTCCAGCAACAAGTTGTTTTTGACTTGGATGGAACTGGATATCATAAATAACTTCTTTTGTTTCCATTTCTGTAATTTTAGCTTTTTCAACATCTTCTTCTTCTTTCATTTCAAGAATTTTACTAACATCATAAAGAACAATTTTTGACTCATCATTAGAAACAGCAATAATTCCATTTTCATATCCTTCATATGGTCCCCATGTTAATTTATAAAATCTGTTTTGTGCAGAAACTTTCTTTACTAACTTGGCTTCAGATGAAACCTCATATATTTCAATAAATGATGAACTATCGAAATCTTCATCAATGGTATCAGCTGTAGTACCAACAGCAAGAAGATTTCCTTTAGGTGACCAACAAATAGTTCCCCTTTTTTCAAGTGTTGCAGTTTTAGACATGTCTCTAAATGTTTTTTGAGTTCTTCTTAGTTTTCACCTTTTGTGGTGATGTTTTTTTCTCTTTTATTTTTAATTTTTCTTTTTTTTATTTTTGTATTGTTCTATTTATATATTCTTTTAATTTTTTATGCTTTCTGTTGGTAATGAACAATTAACTTTCATAATCTTCTATTCAAATGAAAAAATGTACTTGCTTGACGTTTTATGTTCTGTTTTAACCAAAAATTATCTCCCATCTAAAAATTGTCTGATTGAAACAAAATGGGACAAGTTCCAAGTAAGAAAGGAATGAACAAAATATATGTAGGACCGAAAAGAAAACGACAACACATTGCAGAGGCAGTAAGAAATGCACAACCCAATTCATATATATTTGTGGAGAGTGGGAAATATGAAGAAAGTGAGCCTATAGTTATAGACAAGTCAGTAATTATTATTGGATTAGTAGAAGAAGGGGGGTCTAATGTAGTAGTTAAAACGGATTCATCGGCATGTGTATTAATGTCAACAGCGGAAAAAGTAGTGATAGAAAATATTGATTTTACGACATCAGCTAGTATGAAACCAGTTATTGACGTACAACAAGGAGAAATAATATTAGAAGGATGTGGGATTTGTAATGGAGAAGAAGGAATAATTATGTCACCACATAGTTCATCAATAACTATGATCAAATGTAATATTACACAATGTAGCAAAGTTGGGATTGCATGTAATGGAGAAGAAACAAGTATATTAATAGATAAAAGTACATTTAGAGATTGTGGAACAGGAATTTCTATTTCACAAGGATCTAATCCATTAATAAGTGAAAGTTTAATTTCACAATGTGGAACAGGAATATATGTTACAGAAAATGGAAGAGGATGTATTATAGATTGTACAATATCATTAAATAAGAAACCAGGAATATTAACACATAGTGGAGGGAATCCAGTAATAATAAATACAAAAGTTATAGATGGAACATCAAATGGATTATTTGTTAAAAATAAAGGAAAAGGAGTAATGATAGATTGTGAGATTTCTAAAAATTATCTTCCAGGGATTGCATCATGTGAAGAAGGAAATCCATGTATTGTTCATAGTAATATTAAAGAAGGAAAAAATGCAGGAGTGTTTGTATATGAAAATGGAAAAGGATTATTTGCATCATGTACAATGAAAGAAAATACAATGCCAGGAATTGAAGTAAGAGGAAGTGGAAATCCAATTGTTGTAGATTCAGATATTTCAAGAGGACAATCAAATGGAATATATTTACATAATAAAGCAGATGGAATATTTGTAAGAACATCGGTTACAGAAAATGCATTACCAGGAATGGCAATTAGAACAGGAGCAAATCCACTTGTATATGATTGTAATCTTGTTGCAGGAAAAGATTATGCATTATTTGTAAGTGATAAAGGACAAGGAGTTATTGTAAATTCTACAATTGAAGGATGTTCAGCACAACCAGTAGGAACACAAGAAGGAAATTGTACAATTCATGGAGGAAAAATAATTGATGGAAAAAAGAATAATGTTCAAGAATGGTTAGAAAAAATACCAGAAGGACTTGGTTTGTTAGCAGAAGATATTCCAGATTTTAATCTTGTTCAATAAACAATAATTAATTTGTGTTATTTGGTTTTTTTTTTTTTAATAAGAAAAATGAATAATAATATATATATTTAAGTACTTAAAGATAAAAAGAAAAACAATAAAACATATATATATATAAAAAAAAAGAAAAAAAAAAAATAAAGGAAAGGAAAAGAGATAAAGGAGAAAAACAGAAAAGATAAAAAAAATCAAAAAGACCAAAAATAGAAGAAGGTAAAGAAGATTTTGAGATGGAACTAAAAGAAACACAAGAAAATGGAAGGAACAGATAAGGTATTAAATACACCTAGAGATATTACAGAAGAAGAAAAAGAGAAAAGAGAACAAAAGAATAAAAGATGGATTATTGTACAACAACAAGCATTCACACATTGGGTGAATGAAACAGTTCAACAACGAGGAATGACAGTTAAAGATATAAGTACAGACTTTAAAACAGGGATTGTATTAATTAATTTCTTTGAAATAATTTCTAAGAAAATCTTAAGAGAAAGATATAATCATGCACCAAAGAATAGAATTCAATGTATTAATAATTTACATTGTGCATTAACATTTATGGAAAGAGATATGTTAGTTAAAAATCCAGGATGTTCAGCAGAAGATATTATTGATGCAGAGAAATATGGAAATAAATTAATATTAGGATTATTATATACATTATATAGAATTTATCGTATGAATCCAGTTGATTTAGTTGGAACAGAAAATGGAAAACCATTAAGAGAAGAAGATGCACTTTTAGCATGGGTTAGACAAACAACAGAAGGATATGCAGGAGTTAATATAAGTAGTTTTAAACAATCATTTAATGATGGAAAAGCTATATTAGCATTATGTCATGCATATACAAGATTAACAGGAGAGAATGGATTTGAATATGAAGAAATAGCAAATAAAACAGCAGAAGAAGTATTAGAATATGGATTTGAATTTGCACAAAAAAAGATGGGAATTGATAGATTACTTGAAGTAGAAGAAGTAAAAGAAGGAGATATTGATGAAAGAGCACTTGCAATTTATGCATCATTATTCCATCATGCATTTAAAACATTTAAAGAACTTCAAGCAATGAAAAATGAATTAGGGAATGCATCAGGAGAATTACAAATGCAAATGAAAAGTAAAAATGATTTAATTAAAATGAATTTAGATATGAAAAAAGAAAATGAAGAAATGATAGAAAAGAAAGGATTAATGGAACAAGAATTAGAATCAATAAAACAAGAAATAGAAGAAGTTAAAGGAATAAATGAAAATAAAGAAAAAGAAATAGAAGAAATAGAAATAAAAGGAAAAGAATATAAAAAAGAAATAGAAGAATATACAAATAAAATAGAAGAATTAAATAAAAAAAATGAAGAACTTAATGAAAAAATCAAAATATTAGAAAAAGAACATCAAAAAGATGATTCAAAGAAAAGTATATTACAACAAGAATTAAAAGAATTAAAAGAAGAATTAGAAAAATTAAATAAAGAAATTCAAGTAGAACAAGAATTAAAGAATGGAGCAGATATTACAAGTAAATTTGAAGAACAATCTAAAGCAAATAAAAAATTAGAAGAAGAAGTAACAGAATTAGAAGAAGAAATGGAAGAATTAGATGGAGTATCAAAAAATTTAAGAAAAAATTTAGAAGATATAGAAAAAGAAAAGAATGGATATAATGATAGTATAAATAATATTTGTAAAGAAGCAGAAAATTATAGTGGAACACTTGGAATATTAAAGAAACAATTAGAACTTCATTCAGAAGATTTACAAAGATGGTCAGGAATGTTAGAAGGAAAAAGTAATGTAGGAGATGTAGAATCTATTGTTATGAAATTAAAAGCAGATAATGAAGAAAAAACACCTCAAGAAAGAGTGTCTATATATCTTGCTATGTTACAAACCGAAAATGAAGAAATGGATAAATTATATAAAACAAAATTAGATGAAATGAATGGAATAGGAGAAACAAAAAAGAAGAAACCAGTTGTTAAAAAACCAGCAGTTAAGAAATAATTTTCTTAAAACCATTCAATTTTTTAAACATTAAATCATTTTTTGGTTATAATATTTCTTTTTTTTTTTTATTTTAATTTTTATTTTAATATTTGAATTAAAAAAAATTATTATTATAAATATTATTTTTCTTTTTTTAATTTTTATTTCATATAAAATAAAAATTCATTTATCAATAATTAATAATATTTCTTATCTATTTTATCATCTTTTATTCATTCAATTTCTTTTATTTGATAAATCATTTATTGAATATCTATTAATTAAATGATATTTTAATCATCAAAAACAACTGTTTCATTATTTAATAATGTTAAAAAGACTAAACAAACTAAAGAAAATATTCATACAACAATTCATTTAATGTTATCTTTCAATGTTTAATCAAAAAAAGAATATCAAAAATTTAAACAAAAAAGAAAGAAAACAACACATAAATAATAAAAGAATAACAGAGAAATGAATTGAAACAATGATAACAGTAAATAGAAAATAAGAAAGAAGAAAGAAATAAAAGGATATATAAAACAGAAAATAATATACAGATTTAAGAAAAAACTGAAAAAGAAGAAACGTTGAAAACTTTAAAAAGAGAACTTGAAAAGAGGAAATTTAGAGAAATGGGAGAAGAAGCACCAGCAGTAGATTACACCACAGCAGTTGAAAAACATGTAGAAATTGCAGACCAAGTCATAAAAGGAGGAATAAACATTGAAGAAGGACTTAAAGAAATGTTAGATGTTATTCCATTAGGATGTAAAGATACTCCAATATTAGAAAAAAATGCAGAAGCAATATTAAGTGTATTAGCATCAGTTAAAGAAGTAAAAGAAAGTTACGTTTCAACACTCTCAATAGAACAACAAAGTTGGTTAATGATGTATGTTTATAAAGGACTTGGAGCATCAGAAAATAAAGAAGCTACATTTGTTCCACCAGCACAAATCATGTTCAAATGGTTTAATACTATTTATAAAGTTGGAGGAGATGGATGTGTTATGAGGGCTGTTTCAAGAAGAAAAGCACTTTAAATTCATTCAGTTTTTATTAATCAGTTTATTATTAATTAATTAGTCAAAGAAAAACACTTTTAAGAGAAAGATAGTTTCGTAAAAGAAAGTTGTTATACAAAATTATATATAAACTTGTTTGTTTGAAAAAATAAACTAACACAGTTTTAATGCAAGTTGGATATAATAGGTTAAAAGAACTTTAATAGTTCATATTTGATATTAGCATGCATAAAAAGGTTATTCTAAAAATTATTGCCTATACTGTAGCATGCATTTTTATGGTAATTGCATTTGCTACAGTAATATTGATTATGTTTTTAAATGATGATAGATATAACTTAGGACTAAAAGAGAAGAAATCATTTATATATGGTGATTCAATGGCTGGTTATAAGCAATATTCTCCAGAGTCAAAGATGTTTCAAGTTATTTTTGTCAGTGATGATGACAAATACAATCTAGATTCAACAAAAAAACAACATATTTGTAAAGTCCATTTTGGAATTTTATTAAAAGAAAAAGATGAATGGACATTTAATGAATCTACTTCAAAAGGATTTGATGTTGTTTCTAATTATTTATATAAAACAAGAGGAAATGAGATGTCTGAAATAATTCAGTTTTATGACAAATTATATGTCTTTGATGACAAGACTGGTATTGGACATCAATTAGATATTAAGAATAAAAAGTTTTATGCACGTGTGATTATGGCTGATGGAAATGGAACTAGTGATAATGCTTTTAAACCAGAATGGGCTACTATTGTTGATGATACGTTATATTTAGGAAGTCAAGGATTAGATTCATTAAATATAGATGGAGTTATTGGTAGATCAAATAAATATTACGTTCAAAAGGTTCAGAAAAATGGAGTTTATGAAACTGTTGATTTTTCTTTTGTTTATAAGACAATTGATAATTTATTAGGTGTATCATCACCAGGATATACTTCGATGGAAGCTGTAGTATTTTCTAATATTAATAGAAAGTGGTATTTTGCACCAAGAAAAATAAGTAATATTGCATATAATGAAACATATGATAATCTTTATGCAAGTGGAAAATATGTTATTGAGTTTGATGAAAATTTCCAAAATCCTAGAGTTTTTACAGACTCACAATATAATAAGTCTCATGGTTTTTCATCAATTAAATTAATTCCATATCAAGAAGACACTATCCTTTATTTAAAAACATTTGAAAATGAAGATAAATTTGAAACTTTTATTGGAGTGATGAATTTAGAAGGAAAAATGTTGATGCAAGAGAAGTCATTAGGAGCAAATAAGTTTGAAGGAATTGAAATAATTCCACTTGACATTTGATGAGTAATAATTCATTTAATGACAATTGTTTGTTTATGTTCTTTTTTTTTTCATAGTTTTATTTATTGTGACAACATAAAACTCGAAAAAAATGAACTTTAAAAGAAGTAGTTTAGTTATGTCATCATTCACTACTGCTATGATATGTACTACATGTTCTGGACTTGCAACTGCAGTAGGTGGTATTGTTGTTTATTTATTTGGAGAACCTGATTATAAAAAGTTAGGAAAAATGTTAAGTTTCAGTGCAGGTGTGATGATTTATGTCTCATTCGTAGATATTTTACAAGGAGCAATAAATACAATAGGATTTTCAATACCAAACATAGCGGTTTGTTAAATATTAAAATTAAATTAAGAATATTAATGTTATAGTTTTTTATTGGAATGATATTATTTGTTTTATTAGAGAAGTCTATTCCTGAACCTGATTTATCTCGTTTTTTTCCTAAACCAAAAACTGAAACTGATGAACAACAACAAATAAGAAAAGAAAGAGAAGATATTCTTATGTTAGGTATTAAAACTGCTTTTAGTATTTGTCTTCATAATTTCCCTGAAGGGATTGCTGTTTATATGGCATGTTTACATGGTATTGAATCTGGATTACCATTAATGTTAGTAATTGCTGGACATAATATTCCAGAAGGATTAGCTGTTGCTGCTCCAGTCTATTCTTCTACTGGAAGTAAATGGGAAGCATTTAAATGGGCTTTAATATCTGGGATATGTGAACCATTTGGAGCATTAACTGTTGGAGCATTATTCTATCCATTTTTAACACCTTCAGCTATAGAAATATGTCTTTGTGGAGTTAGTGGAATTATGGTATTTATGAGTATTTTGGAATTAATTCCTTCTTCATTAAAGTACATATCACCAGAATCTTCAGCACGGTACTTTTCATTTGGTATGGCGTTCATGGCATTTGGACTTTATTTTATGAGACTTTATTCTCTCTAATTGATTTTCATATTTATTCTGTTATTTATAACAAAAAATAAATATGGAACTAAAAAAATATTTAAAGGAAGTTGATGCAAGAACAACACAATATTGAAAAGAAATCGTTTACACAAAAACTTAAAGAAGGAATTATTCAATTAATTCAAACAAAGAAAAAATATATATTATTTAATATTGCAGGGGTTATTATTTGTATTATTTTATCTGTATTATTTTCAATAAGTTTTTTAGTTATTACAAATAAACGAATTGAAAAGTATTATGATTATCATGAAAGTGGTCTTGATATGAGAAGTAATGCGTTATTAACTTCTGTTAGTGTAAACGCACCACCCCATATTCAAACTTGTTTTGTATCTTCAACTCCGAATTTAAATGATTCTTTAGAAGAGGTTTATCTTATTCGTAAAGAATATGATGTTCCACAAAAAAGTGTATTTTTTAAACAAACACTTCACCCAACATCTTCCATAGATTTAATGTTCGTAGCAACAGATAAATATAATCAACCAACAAATGTTACTTTGTTCATTTTAAAGGGAGACAAAGAATTTCAAAGATATTCATTAGGTTTAGTAACTACTCCTATTTTTCAAATTAAACAACAACCTTCATCAAATGTAACAAAATTAAAGTTAACTCATCAGGTAATAGAACAATTTTATTTTATATTTGAATCGTATACTCCCCATACATCTATTTTAACAGAATTAAAAGTATCTTTTGGACAATATAATGTTGATTCAATTCCACATGTTTGTTATACAGGTTCAGTTAAACATGACTTTACAGCAGGAGAGATCATGATTGTAACAAACACTGAAAATATTTATTCTAAAGTTATAATGGATTTTAGTGGAAAGTTTGTTAAACTTTTTAGAGGATATTTTGTTCTTTTTTTCCAAACTACTTAATGGATAGAAATGTATTTGTTAACACTGTTATTCCACTTAGTGTTGTATTGTTTATATTCCTTTTAATAACATTTTCAGTAATATCAAATAGAAAACGTAGAGATGATGAAATTGAATTCTTAAGACATAACCAAACTCTTCAAAATTCAAAACGGGTTGAATATCAAAAAATAGATGAAACTAATTGATTAATTTATGAATAAGTTATTATTTGTTAAATTATTTAAAATACTTTTGTGCTAATAATGCAATATTCTCATGTAAATGAATATCATCATCACAAATATTTACTAATTGTAATAAACATAGTAATCTTTGTTCATCATTTTTACATTCTTTTAATTGTTCTACTAAATCATTATACTCTTTTTTTTCGTTATCATTAAGAAAACATCGACACTTTTTTACTAAAAATGGATTTGCTTTAGAAATATGTCCATAACATGCAGTAGATCTGTCTTTTCTTCTCTTAACAATAGTATTAGTAAAAGGGCTAGAAGGTAGTGTTTTAGTATTAACAAAATCATTTGTATCATCAATAATATTTACTTCAATTTTTGTTTTTAATTGATTTTTTCTTTGTTTATCTGTTCCACCAATACTTGAGCCATCTTTTTTTTTATCAAAGTCCCAATGTTTTTCTTCTTGTTCATTTTCTATATTTTCATAAACAAGTTCATCAGGAATATCTGTTTTAATAATAAAAGAATGATCAGACACTCCAAAAACATTGTCAACTTTTTCTATTTCTTTGATGTGATTATCTAACCAATCAGGATATTCAGGCATATTTTGAGGATATAATGGTTTATATTGTTTAAATATTAAATGTGTTTCAGAATTATCAAAATTAACTTGACTAGAATCAAATAATGTATATAACTCTTTTTTTGTAAACCAATGTCTAAACCTTTGTTTTTCTTGATTAGTTTCAAGTGTTAGCTCTGTCAAAGTAGTTTTATGAACTTGTCTTCGATACATCTTTTCTTCTACTGTCCCACAAGATACGATTCTATAAGTAACAACATCCTTTTTTTGTCCTATTCTATAGGCTCTATCAACTGCTTGGTTCCCTATTGTTGACCATCCTTCATCAAATATAACAACTCTTGAAGCTCCTGTAATGTTTAACCCACATGCTCCAACTCGAATGGTCATTAATAATACTCCCCATGACGACATATGATTGAACCTTCGTAACCGTTCTTTTCTTAGTCCATCATCTAAATCTCCATCTATTCTCAAAAATAGAATATCTTTTGATTGAAGTAAATCAGATATTGAATCTAATGTTCTTTGATACTGACTAAATAATAATACTTTCTCATTTGTTTTTTCACACATCTTTAATAATTTTAAAAGTACTGTTAATTTCGGCCATAAATTTATTGTTTCTTCATCAACCATTTTGATTATTTCGTTATCAATAAATGGTTTAGTTTGATCTTCTAGAACATCTTTAATGGCAGGAGGATTACTACAACTCTTTTCTAAATAACTAATCATTCCAATAATAGTTCTTACTTTATGCATTTTTAATTCACTCATATTAATTGATCTTAATAACCTTGTATAAATCATTTTTTGGTTTGAATCTAATTTAACCCAAACAATTAATTCGTATTTATTAACAGTAAGTGTAAGACACTTACTATTTTCTGAATTTTTTCCTTCTTCATCATCTTTTTCTTGTGGATGAGGAGTAAGAGTTGTTGTTGGTCTATCATCACCAAATACATCTTTCTTTGTTCTTCTTAAGATATATGGTCCAATCCTTTTGGATAATTCTAATAATCTACGTTTAGCAAATGGACTTTTTTCATTCCTTAAATTTGCATTGGAAATAATTCGTTCAAAATATGACTGAAATTGACTATAATTACCTAACAAAGCACCATCAGTTGTAAAATCCATAATGTTCCACAGTTCTAATAAATTATTCATCATTGGTGTTCCTGTTGCAGCAATTTTATGTTTTGCTTTAAAACTCTTTAAAACCGAAGAGGCTTTACTAATTCTTGATTTTATTGTATGTGCCTCATCTAAAATAATATAGTCCCAATTAATAACTCCTAAATTCGCTTCGTCGTTTTGAACAAGGTTATATGTTGTCAATAAAATACCTCCATTTATTTGTATTGAACTAATTGCAGCTCTTCTATCTGGAGGTGACATATGATGAATACTATAAAGTGTTACTGGTGGACACCATTTCTTTGCTTCTGTTTGCCATTGTAAAGCAACCATTGCAGGGACGACAATAAGAAAAGTACGAGAAAAACTATTATTTGTTAATCCTAAAACAAAAGCTAATATTTCGACTGTTTTTCCAAGACCCATATCATCTCCAAGAATACAACCATGAATTTTTGTTTCGTTATGGTGTTCCCATAACCATTTTATACCTGTGCGTTGATGAGGTAATAGTTTATTAAAAATGTCAACTGATAACCAAAACCCTCCATTAAGAAAATATTTGTTTTGGTTTGTATTATACACAAATCCAGATATGTCATTGGCTGTTTTAGGGTCGACTTTAGATTTACTTTTCTCAATTTTGTCTTTAATTTGTTTAATTTTTAATGGTAATTTTTTGTGATTTGGTAGTAATTTTAATGCACTCTCATAATATTTTAAACTTTCTACTAAATCAAATTTCATCTCAGACTCTTGTGCGGCATAGATTAATGAATTAAACTGTCTTTTCTGTTCTTTTGTTAAAGCAGATTTCATATTTCTTATTTTTTTGAGTTTTTTATTTGTTTTTTATTATAGTGTTTATTGGAGAAAAAAGTTCATTTATTATAGTATTTTATTATTATCTATTAGTTGATATTTCTTGTTTTTTTATTATTTTTAAGTTTTATATTTGAAAATTCATTTCTATTTATATTTTGTTATTTATTTTAAAATTAAATAAAGAAGATGTAAAGAATGAACCAAAAGAGAAAATAAATAAAAATAATATCAATGAATTGAAATAGTATTATAATTTATAAATTGATTGAAACATTATGTTCATTCATTTGTTGATTATCAACATATAATAATAGTAATGCTATTTCATTCCTTATTAGATTTGAACAAATATGATATAATATAAAATGAAAATGTTAGATGGTATTTAGAATACCAATCAATAATAAATAAAGAAAATAAAATAGAAATATAAAATAGAATAAAGATAAATAAGAAATGAAAGAAAGAAGTAAAAGAAATAAAATAGAAAGAAGATAATAAATGAAGAAATTATCAATAAATAATTGAAAGTATCAATAAAATTTAATTCAATATTAATGTAAATAAAATAATAAACATAAAATGAAATTAATGAATAAATATAAAATAATAAATCAAATTTAATGAATAGTATAAACAATACAAATAAACAATCAAATAAATAAAGAATAAAATAAGATAATAGAACAATGAATATTCAATAATAGTTTATCATTCATTAAAGTATAAAAATATCAAAAACTCATTTTGTTTGAAAAATATAAATAAATTATAATAATACTATAAAATTTATTATATGTCTATTTTCAATTCACTTTTAGATATACAAACAAATTTGTTAACTGTAAATAAATTGAGATATAAATTAAAAACTGATGATTCAACTAAAAAATCTTTGAAATAAAATGAAAACTTTGTTTATTGTTCGCCATGGACAAACCCCATTAAACAAACAAAAATTAATTCATGGTAGAAAATATTTACCTCAATGTCCTTTAAGTGAAGAAGGAGTTCAACAAGCTGAAAGATTTTATAGTTCTCATCAAGACCTTCCAATCTCATCAGTCTTCACATCGTCACTTTTACGTTCACAACTATCTGTTCAACATTTTATTGAAAAATATCCACACCAAATTTTAAAAGGATTTGATGAAGTTGATTTTGGGAAATACGAAGGGTTAACTATCTTTGAGAATGGTAAATGTAGATTAGACGAAGTATTCGATCAATGGAAAAAAGGGAATTATGATGCTCGAATTGAAGGAGGTCAGTCATTAAATGATATTATCCAACAACAAAAAGAAGCTATGAAAATTGTTTTAGAAAAGGATGGAAATGTACTGATTGCAATGCATAGAAGAGCACTAGTAATTCTTCTTTGTTGGACATTAAACATTCCGTATAGTAAGGCAAGTGAAATTGACCCAAAGAATTTAGAGTTATTTACACTTCAATATAATTATGAGAATCAAAAGTTTATAAGTACAAAAGATTATTTAATAAGAGATTAATTTTTTTAAAGTAATTTTAAAGTATTGTAATTTTCAATTATTTTACAGTTTTAAAAAAATTTAGATGGAATATTAACAAAAATAAAAATAGTAAAAGAACCATATAATAAATTAAAATAAGAAGAATAATAACTTTAAAATGTAAAGAATGTTGATTTATATCTTATTCATTATTGGTATTTATTCATATGATTGTTCACCTGGATGTTCAAGTAGTTGTGTTTCAGATGGAAGTTGTGAGATATGTAAAGATGAGTATTATCAAGATAGTAATTGTAATATATGTCAAAATATTAATCCACATCAACCTATAAGTGATACAAATCCATTATTTATTAAAAGAGATGGTGTTTGTCAAAAATTTTATAATGTTTATCAAAAATCTAATTGGATACCCTCAAACGATATTATTCCTTTTCCTTTTAATTCTGAACCTCTTCAAATATCATTTAATTCTTCAACATTATTTGATGTAGGGCCTTGTACTTTCTCAGGAAATAAACAAAATCAGTATCGTCCTGCTAAATGGTTAAAATTAGATACAACTGGAATGACAAAACAAGTTGTTGATCTTCTTTTTACATTTAAAAGTGAATCTAAAGTAAACGTTTATTATGACTTATCAGATTCTTCTATAAACACTATTGAACCACACTGTCTTATTAAAGGATATTTATCACAAAATGACCAATCCAATCATTTTAAATTTCCTGTTCCTAATCAACAAGAATTAGAATCTCCTATATTATATCTCTTTCTTTCATTGAATGAAATGGCTGATGTCTCTTTAGAAATTTCTTTCACAGAAACATCTAATGAGGTTAATACTCCATTCTTTTCTTTTGATAATACATTGGTTCAATCCTTATATTCATCACATTTAACTACATCCTATACTTTTCCAATGTATTCTAAAGGAGAATATATTTATCCAATATGTGCACCTGGAAGATTAATGAAAGTTATGTTTTTTGAAACAGAATTTAAAGGAGATTTTTCTTTATTGTTAGATTCTACTAAGTCAAATAGATATGTCTTTCTAGAAGAATATTCAAAGACATCTGATGGACTAACAAATAAATGTGTTAATTTCTGGAAAGGAGAAAATTTTGGGGTATTAGCTACAAGAGGTAAAGATGAAGGATTAACAGTTAGAATAGAAGGAGGTAATGAATTATCAAAAAGATATTTCGCATTATTGTCAAGTGAAGATGATATTGATATACAAATAAATCTTAAAACTATTTGTCCAAATGGTTGTTATTATAATAGTTCACAAGGAACATGTTCTGTAAGAGATGGAAAATGTTTATGTAAAGAAGGGTATGGTGGAGATAATTGTGTGTTAAAATGTTGGTATAATAATTTATGGCAACCTTCTGGTAATACAGGGAAAGACCAATGTTATTTTGGAATTGAAGGATGTAATAGTACATGCCAATGTATTGAAGGGTATAGTCTTAAGGACCATTACTGTATTAGTACAGCATGTTCAAAGAATGAAAAAGGAAAAGGGGTTGAATGTTTTAGTTATAATAATCATTGTTTGGCTAATTGTAAATGTCAAGATGGATATAATGCTACAAGTTTATTTACATGTGTTACTTCAAGTTGTGGTAATGGAATTAATGATAATGATGAAGAAGAATGTGATGGAGGAGAATATTGTACAGAAGAATGTCTTTGTGAGAAAGGATATAAAACAGATAGTAGTGATAAAACAAGATGTATAAGTAAAACACTAAAGTGGTATTATCATTTAGTGATATTAATAGCAGTTATGGTTGGAGTAATGTTAATAATAATTTGTATTGTTTTATTAGTGATATTCACAAGAAAAAGAAAAAATGATTTTGAAATTTATAAAAAACAACAACCACAATACTATCTTTATCTTGGTGGTTCAGTAAATAGTAAACCATTAAAAGAAAACAAATATTCTATATTCCCTACTGATCTAGATTATGGTAATGAAGGTGTACCAACAGAAGTATTTGATACAAGATTTGAAGAAATAATAATTAAAAATAAAAGTAGAAATAAATACATGATGATTATTGTTCATACCCCTGATAATCCAAAATATGTATTTCATTTTAGTCCTCAAGTAACTATTTTATCTCCAAAAAGTCAAAGAATAGTTACTAGTTATATGACTCTTAAATGTACTACAAAAATTAAAGATATGAAAATACCATACTCTGTGTGGTTCTCTAAAAAGAAAAAAGTATTACTCAAAATTAGTCAAATCCTTCTTAACAAAACCTTCGAAAGTTGGACTCAAGATGATCAAAAATTATTGGATAGTGAATTAAAATATGTTATTAAACGATACCATCATTTCTTTATTATTAAAACTGATGCTGCATCTTCTACTCATCTTGATATGGATGAATTAAATATGTCAGAAAATCCTATTGCTGAAGGAGCAACTAGTAAAGTTTATATTGGTAAATATAGAAGTATTCCAGTTGCAATTAAAATGTTTAAATGGGAAAATTTAACTGAAGAACAAACAATAGATCTAAAACAAGAAGTAATTAATGAGTGTGAATTAATGAGTAAATTAAGAAATCCTTTCATAGCAAGTTATATGGGATCAGTTACTTATATCCCACAAATATCGATGGTAATGCAATACTTTGTTTTAGGTTCATTAGGAGAATATGTCAGATATAATAAAGATACTGATATTTATCTTCCTTATAAACTTAAAATTAAAATGCTTTTTGACACTGCTAGAGGAATGCAATTCCTTCATGAAAATAGAATTGTTCATTTGGATCTCAAACCTGATAATTTGCTTGTTAACTCGTTATATTTTGATTCTGCTTGTTGTATTAAAATTACTGATTTTGGTACTTCCAGAATAACTGAAAAAAATAAAATTGATGGAAATGATAATAAAGGACTTGGAACACCAGTTTATCTTGCTCCAGAATGTTATGAAGATGACTACTCATTTGCTGGAGATGTTTTTGCTTTTGCTATAACTTCATGGGAACTATATTATCAAGAAGAGCCATACAAAGATTTTAAGTCATTATTCCAAATCAAAGAATTTGTTAAGAGTGGCAAAAGACTTCCTCTTGATGACTCTATGCCATCATTATTTAAAGAACTCATACAAGAATGTTGGAAACAAAACAAAGGTGATAGACTCAATTTTGAACAAGTATCTCAGAGATTAGTTAAAATTATTGATGATGAGGTAAATCATCCAGAATTAGATACTAATACATATGCTGATAAAATAGAAGATTATATCAATACAAGGTCAAAGAAGTTAGATTCACTGTTAACTCTTGATTGAAATTACTTCAATATTATTTTTTTCTTTTCTTTTATTTACTTTATGTAAATCAAACTCAAATCAAGAGATTCTCTTTTATCGTTAATGAATTTAATTTAACGATTGATGCTTGTTCACAATATTTAGAATATCCTTCTTTAGAAAAGAAAGGATGGTTCTCGTGGTGGTAATTCATTCCTTTTTTAATAGTTTTTATATTTCATATCAACACCAAAAGATAACTAATAATTTAGACAGACATTCTCATTAAGAAGTGTTTGATTATGACATAAGCCTTTGTATTGTATCTGGCACAAATCAAGTACATTATTCATGGTATTCTAAACGATTAAAATAACGTTATTTAATAATTATGATAAGAGAAGTGCTTTATTTTATCTAGTCCATGAGCCTTCTTTTTTCTTTCATAACTGAATGACTAGAAACACCACTTACACTAACAATGATATTCGTATTTCCATACTTTACAAAGAATATTAAAAAAAAAGATATGAGGATAATACATTATTAATGAGATAAGAAATTATGGTTATGTTTTACAGTTATGTTAATAACCATTAAGTAACATTGAATATAAAAGGAGTTGTAATGAAAAAGAATAAATAAAGAGAGAAGTTAATAAAGTTATGATAAAATTGCAATTAAAGAGTGATAAGAAATAGTATTGTTTATTATTAATTATGGTTTATAATAAACTAGAAAAAGGATAACTGGATATAAACTAATTGTAAGATGCCTAAACAATATTACAAAGGGAAGAGTGTATTAAAAAAAGAACGATGTAAAAACTGTGGATCTAGTGAACATACAACAAAAGATTGTTTAGAACGTCCAAAGAAATATGGATGCAAAAGTAGTGTAGAAATGAAAGATATTCAAAAAAGTAAATTAAAACAAGAAGAAATCAAAGAATTAATAAATCAAACTGAAGAAATAACAAAAGAAATTCAAAATACACAAAACCGAATTGATTGTAAAGAATATTATAGTTGTAAAGAAGAAGAAGAAATGATAGAAAATGAAATAAATAAAAAAAGAATGGCAATAAAAAATTTACGAAGAAGAGATGATATTGCACCATATTTAAAAGATTTAAATGATAAAAATGATAAAATTAAACAAGAGATAGATGATATGAAAGAATTATGGGATAAAGAAGAAGATAAAACAAAAAGAAATGAGATTGAATTTTTATAAAATGAAGGAATTTGTAATTTTATTTATTTTAATAAAAAAAAAAAAAGAAAGAAAAATGCAACAAAACAATCAATAACCTGGCATATCAGTTAATTTCACAAGACTTACATTTCCTGTTGAATTACCAAATGCTAAATAACGAGCATTTGGAGAAAGGTCTATTTCTTGAATTCTTCCAAATTTAGAAAATCCAGGGAAATTAGAATAAACAATTCTTTGTTGAACATTAGCAATTCTTATTTGTTTATCTCCTTTTGAAGATGACATTAAAAGAAGACCATTTCTAAAAACAAGATGGTTACAATCATTAACAAGATTCTTAAATGTATGAAGTGGTTTTGGATGAGAATCTTTTTCAAAAGATTTCCAATCATATAAATTAACTATTCCACCATCTGATCCACATGCAAGATATTCTCCATTATGTGAAATTGCTATAGAAGTAACATTAATTGCACCATCATCATATATTAATGATCTACATCTCATCTTTTTAAGATCCCAAATATTAATTGTACCATAATTACCTGATGTTAGATATACATCTTCAGTTGGATGAAATACACTTCCTAATATTTGTCTAGCACCTTTTAATTCATCAATAACTTGAAATGAATTTTTATCAATAAG